TTGTGACTTTGATACCTAAAATGGTATCCACTTGTCCAAGATCCTTCATCTTGAATGTGGAAGAAGGAAAGCTGTTTGTTTCTTCTATTTCGTCCATGTAATTACTCATAATTAGCATGTCGTCAACATACAAGCATATAAATGTCACATAATCATCACAAACTTTAGAATATAAACATTTATCAACGCTATTATGTTTAAACCCGAATGATATTATTGCTAAGTCAAACTTCTCATGCCATTTCTTTGGTGCTTGCTTTAGACCATATAAAGATTTCACCAACTTGCACACTTTATGTTCATTTTCAGGTAGGGCAAACCCTTCGGGTTGTTCCATATAGACCTCCTCATCAAGATCTCCGTTTAGGAATGCCATCTTGACATCCGTTTTATGAACATACAAGTTATATATTGAAGCTAAAGCGAATAATATCCTAATCGATATTATTCTAGCTATTAGTGTATGAGTTTCAAAATAGTCGATTCCTTCCTTTTGTCGATATCCTTTGGCTACTAATCTAGCCTTAAAGGTATTTAAGGATCCATCAACAATGTATTTTCTCCTAAATACCCATTTGCATCTAATAGGCTTGGATCCCCGTGGTAAATCAACAAGTTCTCAAGTATTATTGGACATTATGGAATCTATTTCGTCCTTAATTGCATCTTTCCAAAAGGTGCTATCACGAGAAGCCATAGCTTCTTTATAAGTCTTAGGGTTGGTTTCAACTTGTAGAACAAAAGGAATTGTTCTCACAACATTCAACTCATTTCCCTCTACTAAGTAAAAGGAGATAAGTTGAGAATCGATTTCATCCAATCCCAAAGACTTCTCAACCCGAGTTCTATTGCTTCTTTGTGGTTCACTAGACTCGTCAACATCTTTAGAAGATATTTCATCATGTGTTCCACTTGAGCTAGGGATATTTTCAAGATTTTCCCTCAATTCATTATCCGAAGATAACGAATCCTCAAAGAACTCCACATCGTTGGATTCGATAATCACATTGGACTCCAAATTTAGTAATCTATAAGATTTGCTATTGTTTGCATATCTAACAAAGGCACATTTAATGCCTCTTGAACCCAATTTGGTCCTATTAGGATTCATGTTCTTGTAATAGGCAAGACACCTCCACACTTTAAAGTATCCAATGTTTGGTTTTCTTCCTTTCCACAATTCATAAGAAGAAACCTTAGCATATTTTGAAGGAATCCTATTAAGTATTCTACTTGCACTTAATAAAACTTCACCCTACAAGTTAAATGGCAACTTAGTATGAATAAGCATGACATTTATCATTTCTACAAATGTTCTATTCTTTCTTTCAGCCAAGCCATTTTGTTCGGGTGTCTTAGGTGCGGAACATTGATGAATAATTTCATATTGTTCACAAAACAAATTAAAATCATTGGAAAAGTATTCACCACCTCTGTCACTCCTTAAAATTTTAATTTTCTTTCCTAGATAATTTTCAACATCATTCTTGTATGTCTTAAACATGTCAAAGGCTTCATTTTTATGTTTTATCAAATAAATGTAAGTATATCTAGAAAAGTCATCTATAAAGGTTATGAAATATTTATTTTCACCTCTAGTTAACATACTATTAAGTTCACATATATCAATATGAATTAATTCTAAAATACTAGAAGTTCTCTTAACACTTTGATATTGTTTTTTAATCATCTTAGATTCTACACATATTTTGCATTTATGTTCATCATTTTCATCATATGAGATCAAGTCATATTTTTTCATGCGTTTCATTGTATTTCTATCAACATGACCTAATCTAACATGCCATAATGAAAATAAATTCACAACATAAACAAAATTACTTTTATTCATTTCATTGTCAACGGTATATAATTTGACCATTCCTTCACACGAATAGTCTTTTCCAATAAATTTCCCAATAAACACATTTGATGCCCGATTTTTTCAAGAGATTGTCACTAAATAGGTTCCTATTCATATCCAAAATATGTAGTACATTAGTTAGAGTAACGATTTTTCCAGAAGTGAAGATAATGTCTACACTTCCTTTTCCAAACATCTTAGACCGCATCTTGTTACCCATTTGAATCTCTTGTTCTTCATCCACTTCTTGATAAGATTTGAACAAAAATTTATCATATGATACATGTACCGTAGCACAAGTATCATACCACCACCGGGGAACATTTCCTTTGATTACGTTTACTTCACTTATGGTGGCTAAAATTTTGTCATCTTGGATGGAATTCACTTTGGCCTCGAAGTTATTTTGTTTTCGGTGCGTACAATCCTTGGCGTAGTGACCAGATTTTTCATACACAAAGCAACCTCCTTTTGTCTTCTTCTTGGACTTGTTAAAGTTCCTAGAAGGCTTCTTTTTGTTGGATTTTGCCGACAGTTCTATTTTTTCCACAGCATTTGCTTTAGAAGATCCCTCATGAGAATTTTCAGTTTTATCACGTATTCTCGACTCCTCTTCGATTCGAAGATGCTTTTGTAATTGTTCCAAAGTATAATCTTCGGAACTATGCATGATCTTCTTCCGGTATCCTTTCCAAGTTCCGGGAAGTTTGACAATTATAGCCCCCACTTAAAAGGTCTCCGGTATATCAATTTTTACCGCCTTTAATTTGTTGAAAATCACTTGCAACTCATGCACTTCGGGAATAAGGGGGATATTTTCTAAGAATTTAAAATCAAAATACTTAGAAATCAAAAATTTCTTTGTACCTTCTTCTTCCGCCTTGTACTTACTTTTCAATGCTTCCCAGATTTCTTTTGCCGAAGTTGTATTGGTGTATAGATCATACAAACGATCCGACAATGCATTCAAGATGTGGCCACGACAAATCAATTCATCTTCTTGGCATTTTTGTCTCTCAGTTTTGATTGTTTCGGATTCTCCATTTGTTGGTTCCGGCAAAGGAGGCGAATTTGGATCAAGAATATAAAAAATCTTCAACGCCGTTAGGAGGAATTTCAACTTGTCTTGCCACCGCGTGAAGTTAGTCCTGTCAAAACGATCCAATCTAACCAGATCTTGATTCACGAATTTGATGGTTGCCATAGTTGTATCATTCTCTATCGCAAAGTATAGTTTGAGATTGTTGGTAAATAAGGGTTGGAGAAGAAACAACAACAAAATTATGGAAATAAAATGAATAGAAATCACGAAATACGTCAAAAATGAATTTGAGGCTTGAACACGGGATTGTTGTGCTCAAACTATATTTGCCCCCTCTTCAGATGCTTAAGGGTGCTATGACAAATGGTTTGAAGGATTTTAACCAGCCTTGATGCAGAAAATAACAAAGCACGAGAAATTTTTTGCCAAATCTTGATGAACACAATAAAAAAGAAATGAATAAGAGTTATAGCATGGATTTGATTAATTGTGGAACAATGTATGTATTTCTTGTTTGTAATTATGTTTGTATTAATCATTTATCACCTATTTATAGGCCTCAATTAATACATCACGAAATGGTGCCAAAACAAGATGAAAAGTGGCAACTTTTAATCCAAAATGGCTCCCAAGTTTCAAATTGAAAAATCAGCCAACGACTATATTTTAATATTATGCGTACGTATAGTATAAACCGCGTACGCATAGTAGAAACAAAATCAATTCTGATTTTGTCAAAGCATATCTGCGTACGCAAAAAAATAAGCTTGTGCGTACGCATAAACAAAAATCAAAATTTTCATTTTTCAATTTCTTTTTATTCTATCAATTCCACAATTGAGTCCAACAATTAATTCATTATCATTCCATTGATTTTGAACAAATATTCAACATATGTTCCATGGGAATTGTTCAGAGGGAAAACTATGCACACTGAGTTGTAATAAAGTGCAGTACTGTATAATATAAGACGATTGGTTAGTACTCAGAAAAATAAACTTAAGTTGTTCATTATACTATCTAATGCTGTACTAAGACAAGTTTATTTGAACCAGAAGAATTTCTAGATATGTATATATAAAAGGGTTTTTGCGTGAGTGAAGTTTTTAGTTTATTTTGTCATTGATGCACGAATATTTTGTTGACTGTCTCGAATGCATAATCGAGAAGTGGAACTTGTTTTGAAGCTATCAAAACTTCGCTGTCTTTCCTTCACGCAAAGCTGTGTGAGTGTGGCGTGTTGAATGGACCCTAACAAGTTTCTTACTGTGGAAACGCGAGTTTGAACAGGCGTGCATTCGTGTGTGTATATCTACACGAAGATAGATAATCTCGATTAGAGATATTAAAATTTTCAGTCTGATTTAGTTACTTTGGATCTTTTAATAGATTTAACAATGAACAGAACATAATCTATATTTTCTTCCATGCGGTAAGGAGCACCTCGATGATCGGCCGAGAAAAATGTCCATATGAAAATAAATTCATGAAGTACTGATACCTTATTTATATGCATTTTTTGCATAGTTTTGAAGAAGATGAATCTGTTCAACTATCAAAGTCGAGGGAAAACGTGTACTAGGGGGAACATAAGAGAAACTCTTATTCAAATGTAGGATTCACATGTCTGCCAATTATATTATTAAATCTTACAATTTCTTTCTAATTTTAAAAACATAAAAATAGGAAATAAAAGCATAGAAAATTAAGTGAAAGGAAAAAAGATGGATTCAGTATCCTGCATGACTCACTGTAAGACAGATCTGAACAAGATTAAAAAAGAACCCTATAATGGCTGTCTACGCACAACTTGCACATGAAACAAGCTGTCTCCATGAATACATAGTTTAATTTTTAGATAAGATGATTCAGTATCATGTGCTCGAGTCATGTTTCGTTATCATATGTCTAGTTAGATATTAGGTCCCTCTTTGGTAAAAATTAAAATCTAGATTTTAGTCTAAATCAAAATCAACGACTAATTTTAACCGTGCATTTTATGGGATCACAACTTTTCAAGCACATGTTTCATCAACTTTTATTAAAATCTAAAAAAAAATTATTTTAATCCCCACAAAACAAAACAGGGGCTGGTCAGCTTGTGGTCACAGTCTAATTTTGATGACTCCAGCGCTCAACCATGTTTCAGACTCGAGTAGTCCACGATATCGTCTCTAAGAGCTTAAACTGTGAGACAAAGTGGTTCAAGAGTCTCTTATATAAAGGCTTAGCACATTGCTGGCAAAGTGTACAGTTGACCTGAAAGAGAATACTCTCCCATGGCATGCTTAAACCTACTCAAGAAAGAGCAACAACAGGGCCTCTACAATCCAAGAATCTCATTCTCCAATGATTTTGCTGATCCTCAACCAGTGATGAAGCAGGAAAACAGCTACAGAGAAGCCCCCATCTCGTCCGATTTCGAGTTTTCTATCTCTAATTACCCCATGGTTTCCGCAGATGAGCTTATCTCCAACGGCAAATTGTTGCCTTTGAAGGAAAATTGCAGTAAAACTATCACCCTTAGAGATGAACTCCTTGTTGATGATGATGACTAGGAGAATGTATCACCAAGATTAGCTAAAGGTACAAGTCTTTGGAAGGAGCTAAAAAGGTCTCACATTGTACCTAAGAAAGCTGTTAAAAGTGGAGTTATGGAAAGAACTGATGATCTATTCCATAAGCAGATTTATGCCAACTTGAAAGGTAAACAGGGGATCTTTTCGCAATTGGTTCGCTTCTTTTTCTTAATAATTTTTTTGGGTCAACTACATAAATCGTTTTTGTCGATTCATTACGTACGGTTTTTAATAACGGTTTGATTTACACGGTACAGGATCCAACTGGCGAAGATGATTTGCTGGATTTAGGGAGAGAAAAAAAAAATCTTATGACGGAGTTTGGATAAATGCTAACATAATTTATCTGCGACACGCGGTATTGGGTTATGCTAAAGATGTGTTCGGTCACAGAGGTTATCAGCCTTTCTGTTTCTTTAGCATAATCCTGAGGTATTTGTGTTGACTTTTTATGTTTGTATAAAGGGGTATTGGCACAAAATGTCCTTACCTTTCATGTTGATTGTGAAAAACGTCTTTACCTTTCATTTTTTTAACATTTTTGCCCTTATTTCAACGCTTGGTTGCGCAAAACATCATTTTCCCTATTTTTGAACGTAAAATGACAATTATACTCTCTTATTTAAAAAAAAACCAAAAAAGAAAAGAAAAATAAAGCACAAATTACAATCATACTCCCAAACGTTTTGAAAAAATATAAATCAGTCCAATAAATTATAAAAATTAAAAAAATCATCTCTTTCTTCTCTCATCTCCCTCTTCCTCCCCTCCTCCTCCACCACCAAAACTCCACCTGCCGGTAAAAATCTAAACCTATAAAGTGAAAGCATCTCACCAAAATCTAAGCCTGTAAAACCAAATCGGAATGACACTAAGAAGAGCAGTAGAAGTGTGCTTGAGAAGAATCGGCAAACATTAACAAAAATGAGCAGAAAACTAAAAATCAAAGTTCAGTCTGCCATTGAAGATCCTATTTCCTCCGCAAAACCTAGTTCATACAGCAAAGTAGCCAAGAAGAGTAGTGTGGTTCCACTGAAATCAAAGCCTTTTTCTTCGCAAAGGCTCTAGAACTGTATCCAGTTCTAATCGAGCAGGGAAGACAAAAAATATATTTAGTCGAAGGAAACATTGTGGAACTCTGTAGATCTAATTGCAAATGAGGAAAAGGAAGTGGGTTCTAACTCTTCTGATGCAGTCGTTCAGCAGCAAGAGATGGAAAGTGAACAGTTGAGAGTTCTTGCAGATATGGATTATGAAACCCTAGCGAGCCTCTACTTAAGTGTGAAGACATAGAGAGTGGAGTTTTGGTGGTGAAGGAGGAGGAGGGAAGGAAGAGGGTGAGAAGAGAAGAAAGAGTTGATTTTTTTAATTTATTGGACTGATTTACATTTTTTCAAAACGTTTGGGAGTATGATCGCAATTTGTGCTTTATTTTTCTTTTCTTTTTTGGTTTTTTGTTTTAAATAAGAGGGTATAATGTGCATTTTACGTTCAAAAATGAGGAAAATAATGTTTTGCGTAACCAAATGTTGAAATAAGGGCAAAAATGTCAAAAAATGAAAGGAATGGACGTTTTCCACAATCAACATGAAATGTATGAACATTTTGTGCCAATTACCATTTGTACAAATGTTTGCAGTTTAGTACTTCACTGTAATAATTATGTGTTTGATTTTTCTCTATCTTGAATTGGATTGTTGGAGTTGATTATCTATCAATTTCTTCTCTGCCCCAAAAGTTAAAAGAGTACTGAGATATGTTATTAAAGTATTTTTTCATAAAGAGGGCTCGACCCACAAATCAACTTGCTCTGGGCCTAGATTCAGCCAAAATGGGTTGAGTCTGTCGTAGAACACTAGAACCAGTCAACCCGATCCTTTTGATTCTTCTAGTGGACCTAAGGTGCTAAAGTTTGAACAACTTCGTAACTGATAAGAAGGTGAGACGTGCGTATAATCGTTGAAAATTTTAAACCAGATGATATAACACAAACGTTAAATAAAAATAGTTGAATTTGAAAAGACGAGAACACGATCAAAAGTTATCGATTTTTCAAATTTGGTGCAGAAACTAACAAAAAGAAAACTTAAGGGAACTTTTACATTATCATAATATGGAGGGGTAATTGTAAATAACCAGAAAATTTATATTGCCGCTATCGAATTTTTCACCCGCCAGGCGCCAAGAGAATAAAACGACCGGACGTCCAAAGTGACGTTAAATCCAATAAGTATGAATTGATTTAAAGATAATCACTTCATCTTTTGCCCCGGCCCGTCAACGGAACTGGAGCTCAAGCCTGGCCTCTCGGCATTAGTCACCGGTGGCTCCTCCGGCATCGGAAAAGCACTCGTTGTAGCGCTCGCGCAGAAAGGAATTTTCAGTACAATAATCGATTTATCAGAAGAGAAAGGAAAGGAAGTTGCATCATTAACCGAAACTGAATTTTTGAAGTTTAGCGTGAAACCAGAATTTCCAGCGGTTTTATTCATCAAATGTGATGTCACTGACACAAGTGAGTAGGCACAATTCAGATTATTTCTCTAATAATCAAATGCTAGTAATGAGTGGTTTTGCATATTTTTTTCCAATTTTTTTTTTTCGATGAACAGATGAAATTAAAGCGGCTTTTAGGAAGCATATAGATACCTACGGAGGATTGGATATATGTATTAACTGTGCGGGAATTGGAAGTTCGATTCCTTTTGACGAGGACCGAACTGATGGCGGTAAATCTTGGAGACTTACTGTTAATGTCAACCTCATTGCAGTTATTGGCTGCACGCAGATTGCAGTATGTTTCTAAATCTGTTAATTCTCAGTTTGATTGGAAAAGGGTCGAGTACGTATTCATGAAATTGAATTGAGCAAGCCCCTATTGTGCTGAGTTTTAATTCATCAATGTAAATTTCAGCTTTGTGGATATTGAATGTAAACTGGGGAATCGTGGTTAATTCTGTAACACGCAGTAATTTCAATATGGTGCAGATTCAAAAAATGCAAGAAACTAGAAAACCTGGTGTAATCATTAACGTTGCCTCTGCTTCAGGACTTTACCCACTGTATACTGATCCTATTTATTCTGGTTCCAAAGGTTTGTAGTTCTTTGCTAGTCGATATACTTGATATTTTATTGCCTTCCCCAGATACATTTATGATTTAATCGATCTTTCCATTCTGTCTATACTTTTCCGTGCACATTTTAGTGTAATTTTTGGTCCAGTGAATGACAAAAAGTTCCGCAGGAGGAGTGATCCTATTCACCAGATCACTTGCTCTTTACAAGCACCAAGGGATCCGAATCAATGCACTTTGCCCTGAGGTGAGTTATGCTTTAGCTTATTTGTTTGGCTTTTAAATTTTTTTCAACAGAAGGAAAACCAAGAACACATTTTTGCTGCTGGCATGTCTTAATTTCTTATAAGGGAAATTAGTGTTGTAGAATGAACTATATGTTTGCTCTTCACATATCTAATCCAAGCATAATTTGTTGACGCCTAAGATCTGGTTCTTTTGTGACTACTGAAAAGGAGATGAATAAATCAACCAAATTCGACAAGCTACATGAATTGCTTCTTTCTGTGTTAAACTCCCAACCGTGAAACAATATCTATTATTTTCTGTTCGCATTCCCTAGATTAGTGATGAAGATGGATGTTCCTTAATTTATTCGGAGATTATGTTCTTTAAGTCATTAGAAGTTTTATCTTCCTTAATTAGGTTAGGTTTTGTATTCTGCTTCTATTTGAACACTTCAATATGTTCATTGTTAGGATCGATTGTTTTTGAATATTATATTTTCAACAGTCATTGAAGACTGTTCTTTAAATAGCCACCCAGTCACTTATCCATGCACGAATGATGCTTTTGTAATTCCGTATTTATTCTTGTTTACACTTCCGCATACATCAATAAGTATTACTGTAATTCACATTTTGACCAGTTAAAATTTAGCCAATATCTATCATCTCGAAAGTGATGTGGGAAATGTATAGGATATTCAATTTTTTTTTTTTTTTTTTAATTGTTTGAGCTGTTATATCAATACTCACTACTGTAAATTTTCATAAAAGAGTCAATTAAGTGGCCATTAACTCTATTCTACAGTTTGTTCAAACTGAGTTGGCTTCGAAGATGGATCCTAAATTTATTGAGCTGTCGGGTGGCTTCGTGCCTATGGAAATGGTTCTGAAAGTTAAACTTTTGCAATTTATTTTGCCAGGACAATTACATGTCACAGAATGTAGCTGATGTAATAAATTTCCAAAAATCTAAAGGAAAGAGGAAGAGCAAAAGTCCCTTCTCGTTTACCTTCTAAATGAATTTAAGAACAGGTGTTTCACGGTGTGCAACTTTCATTAAATAGCTAAATGTAGTCGTGAAGCTATAATGCGCTGGCATGATTAATTGCCACCACTTTAGCATCTAGACATTGTTTGAGTCACGAGTTGATAAACTACTGGGGTAAAATCACAACTTCTAGGTGTTACCTATTATATCTAAAGATGAATACTCGTTTCTTCTCTAAACAACTAAGTCTCTACACTATACAGTAGAAATTGGGGATAAATGTTTATGTCAAAAATATTAATGTTGCAAAACTTGCACCTTGACAGGTTTCACTCTAAAATAAAGGTAACATAGCTCAGGTAATGAAATTGAGATGTTCTTCTTTTGCAATACTTAGTGGACATACACCTTTGTTTTGGATGTTTGAGGGAGGTGCAGTGGAGGCTAAGGCAACAAGAATGAACTGAACCGGGGGTTTCCAAGTCGATGTTATTTCGGAAAAGTGTTATAGAGTGTCATTTTAAGACTTCTTTAGATGATGTTTAAGTGATTGGTATTCGGTTATAAGAAAATGTTCATTTGCAGAACAATCACACACCCATGTGGGATAAACTTTTTGTATTTCAAATTAGTTTGCATCAAGTAGAGATAGTGGTAAGTATTATGCACTCTTTGAGTTGCAACCCATGTTTCTAGATTTGTCGTTTAACTTTCAACTTGTGCAGGTGCTTTTGAGCTGATTTGTGATGAAAATAAATCTGGATCTTGCTTATGGATATCCAACAGAAGGGGCTTGGAGCACTGGGGAACTCCTCAAGAAGAAGGACAATACAAGATTTCAAGGAGAAAATCTCCAGATGCAGTCCCATTGAATATTCAGATGCCCCAAAATTTTGAGAAGATGTAAGAAACCATATCTCCAGGTTCTTGCATTGTACATTGGCTGGACCATGTGTATTTTGAACACCACAAACTACCATGTGGGCACAAGAAGACGTGTGCTCAG